AAACAGCTAGTATATGTTTATATAGTCTTCAACTAATAATTCATAGTAATATCTACTAAAAAATATGTTTTTTTCCGCTTAACAGTAAATTATTTTCTCTTTTGTTTTAACCTAAACTAGCTCAGAAAAAGTTTTCATTCAGTTTCAAAACTAACTTCGTAGCTAGATTTCATAACTTCTGGCATATTATTTTGACTTTTCATAATTGTGTTGTTCTTTATCATTAATACCTACTTATTCAGTTCATGTTTATCCTTGATTAATCTAGAATTTTGTACCCATACAAATGTTTATACATTGTTCGACAAAAACAAATAATTTACAAAATGTCTTCTTTTTAACTTTATTAATGTTCATTACATTACAAAGATTTGGCATCTCGTCCCAAATAAAGGACCTTAGCATGTATAGGTAGAGTAGTGTGCATGCATCATCCGAACACTTTACAAATTTACACTAATCAGCTAAAGAACCCTTTAGTTAGATAAATATCGCGAGCTGCCTGACCCAAGTAAACGATAGATACTTATATCTATGTGAAAACTTTGGAGACCAAAGCAGAGCGAGCGAAACAAACTCACCAGTTCTAATAGAAGTTACGAAATTTACAAAAAAACAACATGTCATTTTAAGGATCAATATAATAGGTAAACAATATGAATTTATGAAGTCTGGAGCAAAAACTCCAGTTCCAATATGCTCTGGCAATGCCTTAATAGATCAATCAGGCTTTAATACTTTTAGCTGCATATTTAGATAGGAAATATAAGCTTATTTTGTCGACCTTAAGTCTTAGGACATTCAATAATTGTCTTGGCGAGTGGAAAAATTACGGTAGAGTAAGGAAAATTAAGCTCCTTATTTATATACAGTTAATTGTGGTTTGGTAGGTTTTCTATTCAAAAGTAAGGCTTAATATTACAGGGCGTATGGGCTATTCGTATGAATAAAACTATATCAAACTAATGTGTCAAAATTCAAGTAGCGACCAAGGCAAGTGCAGCCGGCCGCAGCTCTCGCCATCGAGCTAATGAGCCGAGGCGGGCGAGGGGGGGTCCGCGACGGGCTAGGGGGGAAGGGGGTGTTCAGTAATGGCGTGGCGTCGGATGTCGCCGGGGGTGCTACGCCGCGTCGCCGATAACAAAATCACTAGAGAACCAGCGCGGTACACAGAACAGTAGGTACCCTTTTTTTGGACATGGCACTTACGAATGAGCAGATGTTTCGTAAGGCAATGTTACACGTTCATAGACGATGGCAAAAAACTTTTCTGACAATTTGTCGTATATTGGATCATTACCAGTATGGCTCGGTTACATTATTCTGGTGCGTCTGCGCGCTCATTTCATTGGTCAATAAAACAGTGACCAACAACCGAAAGTAGGGCCACACACATGATAACGCACGCCACATGCGAATGTCATTGACCAGTGTAACTAAGCCATTATTTCCTTAAAGATTTAGAAAGGTACATCAAAAAATAAAAGTGTGATCCGTAATACATCAGCCGTCAGCCATAGCAAAATCTTTTATTTACTACAAATGTTATACGTAACAGAATTTCAAAAGAAACACCACACCGTCTTAATTCGAGCAAGCAATATCATTACCGCATCGCCGATTCACGCTCTGTGTCTCGCCAATACCCGAAATACAGTGCGGAGGACGCGTCGTAAATCGCGACGCGGCGGCTTTGTGCCGCCTCGTGCCTCGCCTCGCTGCCTCCGCCTCGATGGCGGCAAAAACCTACGTGACTAGAGCCGCGCACCCGCGCCAGCAAAACATTATGCACCTCCGCACAAACTAGACACAATCTATACCGCCGACACAATATTAGTTACCTGCGTAAAAGTATAAATTACTTAACACCGGAAACAGGAAATATAGCTAGCTTAGTTTGCTAGAAAGACTGATTGAGCCCAACACTTAAAAAATAATATTTTAATGTAATAAGGGGAGAAGGTATTCAAATTGAATTTTTATGTATAATACAGCAGAATAGTATACAACAACACACTAAATTATCGTTCCAAATTCTTCTTCTCGATATTTTTGCAAGGTTTTGTTTGGTTGATTCAAAAATTTTAATTAATTGAAGAATGGAATTGGAATGGAAACACATGAAACTCATGGAACAGTTAAAATGTTGCTTAATTTAAGAATTCATTGCTTTAAAATAAATCTAAAACAACATCAATATATTCATATATATCCTATACTTCTTTAGAAATCAGACTAATTTTACATCACAAAATCCAATAGAAACGCATTACTAATTAATTATTTATAATAATTCTATATACCCAATATAAAAATAAACCAAAGCGGGACATTATAACAATAAATATTATACCACTAACAATAAAAAAACATCAAACAAAACAAAGCGTTCAAACTTATCAGCGACTCCAATAAATAAATATCTCTAACCTTGAACTTTTGGTGCAACGTGTTCATAACTTTGCAGACGCCAGGCGTCGACCGAATGCCGTCTGATATTAAAACTTATGACAACTGGGATAAAGTTCGTGTCTGTTCACAACTAGCGTACTCCCCGGCATAATTTATTCTTCTACAATAATCGTCATAGGTCAATTTACACAAAACCTCAATTAAATAAGAATTAAAACCTTCTTGGTAGTAATAGACGAAAATTCATTGATGTGATCAGTTCTAATTTCTTAATTTATCACGTTCAGACAGACATTGAAATACCTATTATATTTAGGAGAAAAATCATTGATATTTGTCTTATCTTATCGCACTAATTAACTACAATAATAGTCGTTTCTTTTATTAAAGCTTTAGATAACAAACACGTATTGGAGTTGAGATTAAATGAGTCACCGATGACCGATGTTCATATCACTCACTCGCTATCTAAAATATGACTTAATTTTACGAATATCGTTGCTCGCCATGAAAGCAGGAAAGTCTTAATTGACCCGACCGAGAATCTAAAACTCCAGCCCAGCTCGGTATATTGTGACCAAAAGTTTAAGTTACCTTCGAAGTACAGTTTCTATCCTGAGAATCATTAGAATATTTAGCAAACAATAATTTATTATATTTTGATGAACTTTGCATTCACAATGCAAAATAGTTTATCACAAAACATATTTAACAATCTGTCACCGAACGTTTCAAATTTGCGATACGCCACACTTCGAAATGTCAACTACAAGTTAGTCTATATCTAAATGTACTTATATTATATACTGGCTGTTTTCCCGCGACTATTTTTAATATAGCCTATATAAGCCCCGTATGATGTAGTTTCCCGTAGTAGAATGATTTTTTAAATCCATCCAATAGTTTCGGAGGTTTATTCAATGCAAACAAACAATAAAATCCTCCCTCTTTATATATAATATAATAAAATTAATATTAATATATAACAATAATAATAGGTAATATTAAATAAATAGACATTATATTTAATAAAAATTAATTACGAGTGCTTTATTGTCCAGCTATATTATACAATGCATATACGCAAATGAAAATGTAAACGTATAACTTTCAAGTCTACTAATTAGGTAACTAAATGTTACTCATTCATTCTTAAGCATAGGCTCGTATAAAAATTGTACCAACGCTATTACGGACACGTGGTACTTATTATTACTGCGATTCTGACGTCACGCGCTCTACCTGACGTCGGTTCATAAATAAAGGATAGAGCTATAAGGAAAATCGTGACTATTCCTTCTAACATGAGAAGCACAAGCAAAGATAAAAGTATTCCTGTATATGCAGGATCATGTTTAAATTTACATTCCATAATGGTCTTTGTGGTATAAAAATAGCACTACCGTTGTGGTATAAAAATAGCATATAAAAAATATATTAACCTCTTACCTCACTATTAGTACCCTCAAAACCGAAATAAAGACGAAGAAATTTCCACATTAAGACGTTTACAATCTGAAATTTCCCACGAGAACCTATCAGACTATGAAAGAATGTCTAAGTTTAGTAAGCTATTTAATACATTTTCGCATTAGGCACTTAGAAAGGTCTAAAAAGCAGTGTGAAACGCTTAGGTATTACCGAGGACGGCCATTAACTACATAGTCCCTATACTAACTACTCATTTAGGAGAGCCTTACCCGCTTTTTGCCTCTCCTTGGCAACGCTTAAGTCAGGAACTCCCCAAAGCATCCTCAAATTGAGAGCGGTCCCTTGAGACAACCTATAGCTTTAGCCAGAATATACCTTCACAAGCGAATAATCGATGTAGGTGCCTACCTATTAAATTAATTTTAGATTGACAGGAAATTTGCTTATCTAACTAACGATTATTTCCACAAAATTTACGATACACCTAAAACGGAACTACGCAATAATATATTAACCTCTTATACTTTTTATTTACAAACGTTGTAACTTTTCTACAAATAGTGTACACAACTCATATTTTATTTCAGAAAGTAAAAAAGCAATAAAACCTAAAAGTAGGTCATGCCTACTCAGTGAAGATTTTTATGAATGAAACTCATAACAAACAACCGTAGCAGCTACGGAATCTGTAACGCGTTGTCAAAATATGGCATAGCCGTAATCTACGATTAATCGTAGCGTCAAAGAAAAACAAAACACCGACAATTTTGTCGTAATTAGTTTGTAACTCTGATACTCAAGTAGACGGCCGCGAGACGATATTAAGAGACAAAGTTTTGCACTTAGAAAAGTTGTGGATCACAGCGCGATTGTTCGCAAACTTCCCTCCGTACCGGGGGAAAACTTTCCGCGGCTTTCTTTTTAGGTTTCCGTTTTTTATCTGATGCGTAGGTGAAATTAGTACATAATTAATTGTGAGGATAGGTGGGTTGTTTACGTGTCGGTGCGGCGGAGGAGAGATAGCAACGCGGGTCGCGGGTCGCGGGCCAGGGGGGGCGAGACGGGGGGCGCGCGGGGGGCGCCTGTCGGACACAAAGGAGCGGAGCGGCCGGCCGCGGACGCGAGCCGCGGGCGGCGCCGGCCTTATCACACCGGCCACACAGTCGGCCCGCGCGGACAGCGACGCACGTCTCGCGACACTCGCCCTCCCGCCGGTGAACCAACAGTGACTTGTGTGAATCTTGTGATCGGCCTGTGAAACTTAAACTTGTGACGCGCACTGCGCATCAGTGAAACAAATATACATTGGAAGTGAACAATTTATTGTTTTGTTACAACGGAGCTGTCAGATATTGTAAACACAGCACACGTGCTGCCGGCTCGCAAGTAAGTTGCTAACTTTTTCTACGGATCTAAGTGCGTTGTAGGTAAATGTAATTTGCATCACTTTGAGTGTAAGAGGAGAAATTTGTAAAATCACCGTGAAGAACCTTCACGGAAGACGTCGAAGTTAGGAAGAGAATTAGCATAAGATTACCTGTGTTATGTGTATTTCGCTAGATTAACTATTTCTTATATCTACATATATCTTTCGCGTATATCTTTAAAAAATAATCATTTTACATTAAATATAAAATTCTGTCTATTGGAAAGCTTTTGTTGCAAAAATAACTGAAATAATCAAGCTTAAATAAATATGTATTGTAGTATCTAAAACAAGTATAGAACACTAATCGTAAAACTACGTAAAAAAATCAACCTCGTTTTCAATGTTATTAAAAAAAAAATTGTTAAAACAGTTTAAAAACTACACAAAACTATATAAATATCTAGGTGGATATCACCTATCATAAATATAAAGAAAAACGCCAATAATTTCACTTTAAATAATATCTTTTTTGATTTTATTTCGATATAATTTGTGTTCTTAAAATAATTAGGATTGCAGTCGGTTTGAATATTGATTCATATAAAATAAAATAAAAATTTCATTCTATTTTCACAATTTACTTAGAAATTCTTGAAAAGTCGTCAATTTTTTTAACTTAATCTAAAAATTTATGTAATTCTCAAAAAATATTATTTTTTTAGGTAAAATCTTATTGACTAATGCTAGAAAATATGTGTATCTTTTTTTAATAATTTTACACTATTTAATTTACTTCACAAAAAATATACCAAAATCTAATTACTCCCGAATAAATTGCATTGCGCCTTGCAGCGCCATCTCTGAGTGACCGAGTAAAGCGTACGCCACCCGTTTGCAAGGTCACCGTGTCAACGACCTAACAACTTTTGCCGCCTACTGTTGTCGTAGGTCATAATTTTATGTCTTCTTTTTGTTTATCTTTTCGCAACTTTATAGCTGGCCACGTAAATGTTTTTATTATACGACATCGTACAAATATTATCATCTGTTCGAATTCACACTTACTAAAATGAGTGTACCTAATAAATGATAAGTTTACTTCGTATAATACGAAATGATATTGATTTTGATACGAACGGGTTTCTTTTTATTGTTTTGCCATCTTATATAGTAATCAGCCAAATACTAAGCTAACAAGATCATCTTAAATTTTATGTAGATTTTAGAACTTTTTGAGTTTGAATTTAAAATCATATCTCTTTAAAAAATTCTTCTTTGTTACAGAAAGCGAGAACCCAAAATGACGACGAAGGGTAAGCGCCCGATGCGCGCCCTGACGCCCGGCGACAAAATCGAGGCAATCCAGCGCGTCAACGATGGCGAGTCCAAAGCTTCGGTAGCGAGAGACATAGGCGTACCAGAGTCCACACTCCGCGGCTGGTGTAAGAACGAGGACAAACTGCGCTACATGACGTCACGACTCTCCTCGCCCGACACCGATAAGAGCAATGACGGAGAACCGCCCGACAAGCGCGCGCGCACCGAATCGCCCGCTGCACCACAATCACCGCCCACCGGACTAGACTTAACAGCGCCACCAGCAACTGCGCCATCTCACACCGCACATACTGCCACGCCCGATGCACCCGTCGAGCTCACCACCAAGCGCGCTGAGCCCTCGCCGCCTACTACACATGTACCCCGTGAACGCCGCCCCGACCCTGGCGCTAGTGTCTCCATGAGCGCTATCAGTCCTCTCTCCGGGCTCGGTCATATACCCGGTCTGACGCACTCACACCTCGGCCTCAGCTTCAATGAAATCGCCACCAATCTCACTCTCCTCGCGCAGCTCAACCCCGGTTTGTCTGCGTTATCCGCCCAACCGGCTAGTCGTGCCCTGCGTTCCGTTCGTTCGCCAAAACCGGCACACAACGGAGGACTCGGTTTGAACGAAATGAAACACCGCAGCAAATCACACCACCATTCCGACCCGTACAGATCGAGTATGAAATCGAGTCATCACAGCACACCCTCGACGACAGCTAGCCAACCTGTAGATGACACTTTATGGTACTGGCTCAAAACGCAACAGGCAATGCTCGATCTCACCGCTCAAACAAATACGGCACACTCTCTTCAGCTCGGTAAAGCAGACCCAACCTTACCAGTAAAACCGGTTACTCCAGCGACACCGATAAATTCACATCTGGACTATAACAGGAACTCCTGGTTGTGGCAGTACTACAAACAATTCGGGGGTGCGATGGCATTACCAGAGGATAAACTTAAATCTGCATCACAAGTACCGAGAGAAAAGGCCGCAGAAAACATCCTGTATTCGCAATTAACTAAAGGCAAAGCCGACGAGGAGAGGAGTACAACTAGTCCAGTGCAATCTACAACTCAAATAAGGAATGAGGAAATTCGAGAAACAAACAATAAAGAGCCGCGGGTCGCCGAACCGGCTGTAAGCCCAGAGATCGGTGTTGAGAACAAGGAACCGATTACAGAGAAGACTCACGAGTCGAGTCGAAGTCATACAAAAGCTCGTACGGTGTTAGACAACCTATTGTTTAACAACAACAATCAGCCAGCTAGCGCGGACGGGGGGGGAACGGAAGCCGGTGGATGGGAAGCTGACGCGACGGAAGCGTTAGAGCACGGGGATAAGTTCCTAGCATGGCTGGAGATGAGTGGCGACCCGAGCGTGACGCGTATGCACGTGCACCAGCTGCGCGCGTTGCTGCACAACCTGCGCTCGCGCCGCGCTCCGCACGCCCCGCAGCTGGCCGAGCACGAGCACCCGCGTCGCAAATAAACGCTACAGGGACACTCAATTATGTACATAGTAACATCGCCAGTAAGCGTTCACTTGTGATATGTGTAGCCAAATTTGCGTATTTCTTTGTTCTAAAAGGAAAGTTATGCGTTATTTCTCGTATAATCTTAAGACTTAATTAAATATAAGCTCCAACGCTTCTCTCGAAGCTCACCGCGCTTTGTCAGACGACTACGTCGTTAGTTAACCCGTCTGCGAACTTAATAGACGATAAAAGTTTGAGTGTTACTGGTACGTAGTCGGCGTTACTTTCTTGCACATTGTTACGTGGTTAGACTAAGTAGTACAGCTGTATGTTGCCATTCGACAATTACTTACATTCCTAGTTGTACCCTACTATAGTTTATAGTCGGATCCCCTGTGTTCTACCTCAAGTCAAAACTAAATACTAAGTCACGGCGTCCTTTCGCCAGCGAGGCGCGCCGACGTCGCGAGCGCGATGGGTGACGCGCGTGCGATACCAAATATTGAAAGGACGACATTTTATTCGTTGTGCCAATCTTATGGACAAGGTAATAATTGTTAAGATATAGATGACTATATTGCGTTAGCGCTAGGCACTCGTTGTAATTGTTTTCTATTGCTCAGTATTTTATATATTATAGACATATTCTCGATGTCTTGACGCGGAATTGTATTATACGTTAAAGTTAACAGTTAAGGACACTGTGATCAAAATTATAAATTATTGAGAGATTATTAAATATTGTAAGTACATTCCTAATTAATAGAGTGTATTATCATAATGTTATGAGAGTTTGTCCATTGGTTGGTGGCGTAGTAGAGACTACACAAAGCCACCGACGTTTAAATAAAATACAATTAAATATCTACTAGGTGAAGTTCAAAGAAATTGTCCTTTCCACTGAAGATAAGAATTATTGATTTGCATTTCATGTTAATTATATTAGCTCTACTGAAAATTATTCGAGATGCGATATTTTGTACAAAATTAAAAATTGGATTATAAAATGATTCTCTTGTCACAGAGTTTGAGATCTCGAAAATGTTAAATAAATAAACTTGATTAAAAAATTAAAGGCTATCTTTTTATTTTCTTCCCAACACTGCTTAGACATTGAAATTGAATAAAAATGGCCCTAACAAAAAGCAAATAGGTAGGTTACATGTGAATGAAACGAAATTACTAAATTCTATCCACTTTGAAAAAGCTTAAGAAAAAAAAGAAAGATGCCTTTGCCTAAAGCGTTAAGTTAATATAAAATCGTAGATAACAGTAGTACCAATATTATAGTAGATTACGTAATTTCGTAAATAAAATATGTAGGCACATGGCATAAATGATATTGACCAAATGTAGTATATATTTAACTGAATTAAATTTATATTAAAAATGTTTTAACGTTTTATAAATATCAAGCCAAAACTTTACCAAAAAATGCAAAAAATTAGGAAGTTTAGTGGTAAGACCTAATAGCATTATTAAATTTGGAGTGTCTTCTAATTTACCAGTACTTATATTAAACTCATTAATTGACAATTTTTATTTTCGTTTCGATAAATCTATACTGCGACAACTCCAATAAGAATAGTTTTGGTAAGTTTCTTTCTTTCGAAACGTAATTGAAATAAAAAAACAGTAATAAGTAAGTTCTAAGAAAAATAATTTTATGAACTTCGTCAGACTTTTTCTCGCGAATCCGATGGAATAGAAAATAAAATGTTTTGTGATTTATTGTAAACATTTGAAACCTTAAATAATTAGGCAAATTACATTATGACACACTGTGAAATCAAATTTTAATATGTAAGTAGCTGCCGCATGTCAGCGTATCACCCGTAATGTTATGGACGGACTTCCAAGGCCTCAATTGCACTAATGTTAAGATAATAACGACATCACATGGCGTCTCAATTTATTGCAGTTTGCCATTGCCCTATCTACCTAACGCCCAATATTATTAGCGCAATATCTTCTTCATAAAACAGAGGTGAACAAGACATGTTTTTTATTTTGTGATCTAGTAACAAGAACCTACACGGATGGATCGACTCGCCTTAATGAAGCTGACATTTGCAGAATTAGGGCCTAGGCTACAAAGGCCTCGACAGTAATGGATACAGAGATATGGGTGTCAGTAAGAACTTGTAAAAGTAATCAGGTATATCATCTTACCGAAAAATTGATCAAAGGAATTCCGGTTTACTATGAAGCGTGTCCTTTTTAGAAACTAGTAACGACATCTATTGCTCACCTTTAAAAAGTGATAGCATTAAGATTTATAAATACCGCAGTTAGAAACCGAAAGCTGAACAATAATAATTATTGTATCATCTCATATTAATAAAAAAATACTCTTTACTTACATGCAGCATCGGCTTCGTGAGAGGTTCATAATCGAAGTAGTCTGATACCAAAGCTGATACACCTTGCCATGTGTTGGTGTCCGCAAAACAAAGCTTCGTCGGTCGAATTGAGGTGCACACCATTTTCTGAAATAATGCAAAATCGAATTTTAATTTTGTTTAATTTATACTTTTAATTTCATTCGGTTAAATAAATCATAAACTAGGCGTGAAAGATAGTATCCGCTTTTTTCAGAAAAACTGCCATCTAGTGACAAAGCAGAAAACTAACAGGATAACGCCTGGTAGAAAGTACTTACGTACCTGCAATCCACATTCATTGGGAACTTGCAACAATAAAGGCTTCCGCGCTTTGTATTTGTAATGAAAATTATACTGTCTCCTGAAGTTTTCAGTGTAAGCAAGTAGCAATCGTTCCTTTGTAGTATTTATGTAATAACTCTTAGGAAAACTTGTACGAGTCTCAAACACCGGTTCACTGATATCAGGCCAACATAAATTCACTACTCCGAGCTCGTATATGGCGTTATTCAGCGATTCTATTGTCAGTGGTTCGGTAATATCGATGAGACTGAAAATTCTAGGTGAAACCTCTTCAAAATCGCCTTCCTCATGGGGTCGGTCGAATATTTCACTTGCCACATTCTCATTTAGTTCTAAAACTGGATCTAATGTGTCGACTTCACTTTTCTTTTCTAAAAATGCTTCCGAGGATATTTTCACAACACTCATTCTGTACTTTCTGAAAATAATCCATCCATTATATTAACAGCTCAAAAAAAAATTGAATAGACCTCGTGGTCTTACTTTTGAAACCTGCGTTTGATTTTAGACCAGACGAACTGTTTTCACGAATTTTTCGGATTTCAATTTTATCTCAAACAAAACCTCGTGCCTAAACCGTTGCCTAGTTACTGAAACTGACTGAAATCTATATCTCTCATTTCTGACATGAAAATATAACAATACCACCATACCATTCTCTTTTGTATAAGTTCTTATCTTTGGTTATTGTATACTTAGGTAAATTTCTGTACTGTCGTTTGGGTTGCATTTGATGTTGCGGATGCAAATTGTTTTGAGATCTGCGGATGCGAATTTAATAGAGCTACATCTGTATATTGTTTACTTTAATCTATATATATAAAAATGAATCGCAAAATGTGTTGGTAAGCGCATAACTCAACAACGCCTCGACCAATTTGGCCAAATCTTTTTTTAAAATGTTCGTTGAAGTTCAAGGATGGTTTTTACGGCGAGAAAAATTAGAATTATTGCTGGAAAAACCCTAAAAATAGCCCTTTTCTTTTTCCCATACAAATGATTTGTAACTAAAACGTAGTCAATTTGAGCTTTATTGCTATGGTATAAAGTTCATATTAAATTACAAGCACTCACTGTTGTCTAAGCAATGTAGGTGTGTTCCTAACGTCAAAGATCATATCTATCAAAACAATGTGCGTGTGTGCGTTGGAGCACAGAATACATAGTTGGAGGAGTTTAATGTCGCGTTCCGAAACTCGCGTTTCTTTTGTATTAGTTTCGGCACGCGAGATAAAATGCATCAGTTTCCACGTCATTACATGTATTGCCGGAACATTGATGAAAATACGCTCTGTAGTAGCAAAGCTGTTGGGTCCTAGATAGCTCATTGGTTAGAGCAGTCCCTGGATCGCGAATGGGTTCGAGTCCCATTCCGGGGTACAGGTAGATGGATTCTTCCAGCATTTTTCCTTGAGAATGTTTATATATTTTTTTAATTCGAATAGTTTACTTTTATAATGCTGTTGTGTGTAATGTGTTTTTATGATCATAAAAATCTCTTTTTTCTATATTTAATACTATTACTATTAATACATTGCAATAATAATTATGATTCACATGATTAACAATAAAGCGATTACTTACTTTTAAATCCTTATATATGTTTTATTTAATTATTTTTTATTCACAACGCCCTATCACCAGGGTGACGGTTCTGTTCAGGAGAATTTTTTTAAATACGTAGGCAAAAAAACTGCCACATTACAAATCTTTTTGACAGGACGAAGTCTGTCGGGTCAGCTAGTATTTTCATAAATCTTTTAATCAATGAAGTTAGAAGTTTATGTATCGATTTAAGGTGTGTGGTTCAACAGATAACAATCTTATTTTCTGATTATTATAGCAGTTCAAAATATAATAATACTTGAAATATCCATAAAGATGAAAGTAGTGGTTTAAAATCTTCATAATGAGGAAATATTTTAGGAAAAAAAAGAAAGCACTAAAAAGGACCTCACTTGATGACGACTCTACCAAAAGTTGATTTTTGCAGGAAATTAATTGACCAAAAATAGTAATTTCCGTTTCTTTTAACTAACATATTAAAGAACTGAAATTTGCAAAATTCGAAACTTAGATATCAATACAAATACGAAAAAGTACAAGTAGAATATGAGTTGTTTATTGAACTTTGAAAATTAACTTACTTTTATACATGAAAGAGAACCGGGAAGATTGTCATGGGGAAATCAAGAAATTACCGTAGCGACATCTAGTTTGATATCGGGAACTAGTGCTTTTTTTAATACTTCTTTGTATTGAAATTATGTTGGATTAATATCAGACTTTTCGTAAATATGACATTGAAAATATGTGATTTGATGTCTCCACGCACCCGTAGTCTAATATTAACCACAGGATGTGCCACACCCTACCAGCACACGTTTGTTGTTAAAAGACCATAGAACGATTTGTAAAAACCATCGGTGGTAAAAAAAAAAACGCAAAAAGGTGCACCACCAAAGAAAATGGCGGAACTATATCTCCATTTTGTTTTAAAGTGCGACTATAGAGATGTCAGGTATTACAATTTTGGCCTATATAGTTGATCTAACAAAATCTCAATCTCTATTTGGTTATATACAAGCTACTGCAACGCTGCTAAATTACTTTTTTGAACTGATAGTTTATGATACTTTAACCTGACTTATATTTATCATTGATTCATTGTTAGATTTTTACTTATAATAAGATTAATCGCCTTTTACGTAAAAATTATGTGCGATAGTCATTTTACCGATGAACTATGGATGGACTTAGGATAATATTTAAAAGTCCCCCCCTCCCTCCCTCGAATTATTAAGTTGTTACTAACAATATAATTTTAAAGCCCTAAACATACTTTGACTTTCCACAACTACTATAGCACTCTACATTACAATCGATATTACATGAAGTTAGGCTTTGCATTAATAATTGCAGTATTATTATACTGAATCAAATGTCAGTATTATTGTGAAAAAGAAATAGATATGCCTTTATAGAACAGATATATAAAGTGTCAAAATAAGCCTTTTCATCAATTATTAACAGATTGTTTTTTCTCTATAAGCTTAAAGATCCAAAATGTATTACCGAACTCTCTTATACAACAGTAAGGTAACTTAAGGTTGCTTAAACCTTTATTAGCTACTTATACAGCTTTTTTGCAATAAAAGATAGCTAGATGGGAGTCAACCAAGCTCAAAAATTATTTGTTAATTTATGAAACAAAAAACAATATGAAGTATATGAAAATGAGTTTTTTATTGTTGAGTCGTTATTTGAATATCGTAAAAAGAAAACTAATTCTAGTAGAGACTATTATAAAGTCATTGCTAAAACCATCGTTACATAATGAGAAAATTTATTATTTCCGCTAAAGTGTAAATAATAAGATTCATGATCCCAAGTCTGTGTGGAGCAGTCTTAAAAGCACAATATTGATAAAGGACCAGGTTACAGACTTGCCATCTCACTTTAACAATGCAAATGCTATTAAATCGCACTTCATTAACTTACCGAGGAATTTGCAGTTAACTATATCTAACATGACTTTCTATGAATTCAATAGATTCAGTGATTCTGTATTCTCAATTGAAACCGTTACACACACCGAGACTTCACATATTATAAGTAAGCTTAGTTCCAACGCCACAGGAATTAATAACCTTACTTTAAATATGATAGTTATGACGTTGACTTACTCTTCAGTTAATTCGTCTTTAATTCGTTCGTTCTTTAATTAATTCGTCAATGTCTATATATATATATATATATTAACGTTTCCAGATCTCTGGGAAATTGCTATAGTGCGACCTTTAGCAAAAGTAAGCAACCCTATACAGTTTACAGATTTCGTACTGTTAGCATCCTTCCCTATCTCTGTAAAGTTTTACAGAGAATAGTTTGTCCGAAACTTACAAATTATCTTGAACATAATGATATTTTCCAGTGTTTCAATCTGGTTTCCCAAAAAGGCGAAGCACTACTACGGCTTTGATTGATGTGACAGATAATATTATAACAGCCCAAGAGCGCGGGTTATGCACTTTTATGGTGCTGCTCGACTTCTCCTGGGCATTTGAATCTACATATAAAAATGTGCCATTGTTGCTGTCAAAGATGAGATTGTACGGTTTTGATCACCGTACGCTGTTATAGTTTGATAACTATTTGACTAATCGCGAGCAGCTGGTGAGCCTGCGTCTGGATAATGGAACTGCTTTAAATTCTAAACTTTCGCCGTTTAATCAAGGGGTTCCGCAGGGGTCTATACATAGTGTTCAATATAAAAACGTATGTATCACATTTATGCTGATGATACACAAATATTTGTATCATCAGCAAATTAGAACGCTTTGCCGCTTGGTCGGAGGATAAGGGCGCTTGTGCACTACACTGAATTTTCAGGTCCGGCGGTCCGATTTTTTCCTGTCCGGAATGACATGAAAAATCCGGGTGAGTAGCTTGTGCACTTGTCCATTTTTTCCTGATCGGAGCGGCGCAGTGTAGGGCAGCTCTCTTTGAAGCTACACGTCACTTACGCTAGGTACGATGAAATTTTTGGAACGTCGGTAATTGCGTTCGAAGACGTGGAAAGGTACCTAAATAATGACCTGATCATTTTAAATAAACCATAATAAATTATGGCAAGACGAAAGCATTTTTTTTTACTACTATCGGATGACTACTATCAGATGTAAAAACTTATGCCCTTACTTTGAGAAACAGCATTATTCACATACAATAGCTAAAAATATCTGTGACATTAGAATAAAATTACTGATAATGGGTTAATACTTGATGTTTAAATTAATGTGATATAAAATAAAAGTGATATTTTTTTTCGAAGTTTTGTAAAAACAACTTTAAGCGATTACAGAGATAGACCAATCGGTGGCGCCATTTCGTAAACAAATCGAAATTAGTGCCGTGTAAGCGGAGAATTAATATGATAAATGAACTTTACGAGATCAGTTGACTGTATTATTTATAGGCATCATTTTATACGCGATGTGTAGTTTCTTTGAGCAGAAATATTTTTCCCTTACAATACTACTTTTTTAAAATTTATGTATGACACAAACAGTCATTTCAAATTTTATTAAATGCGAAAAAGACATTGAGTGCCTCTTAATTACTTCCGTTAAACTTCTGTTTATTCTTTATTATTACTTCTATCATCAAATATTTATCTATTCTTATCAATGGACTAAAAAAATTTTGATAATGACAAATTTCCAGGCATACTTTCATACCCTATTTTTCACGATAAAATGTAGCCTGTGTCCTTTCTTAAAGTTAAGTCTATTTATTATATTAATTTCCATTAAGATGGGTTCAGTTGTTTAGGCGTCTAGGCGTAACAACACTTATTTATCTTACCTTAAGTTATCGACTCTTTTAATACGATTCTAAAATCTAGC